ACCTGGTAAGTTAGTTTGAACTGATATTACCAACAAACAAATCTCAAATAATCGAACATCTAATTTAAAACTGAGAAGATGACAAAAAATTTTTTTTTAAAAATTTGCAATAGTTTATTTTGTAAATAAACAAAACAAAAAATATAACCTGCGTTTTCAATTTCTTTTTTGGATTTTAGGTTTTAGATTTGGTTTTGCTTTACATTTTCTTTAAATCACTAAATTATTTAAGAAAAAAAAATTCTTTAAAAGTTACCATTGAAATATTTATCAAAACAAAGTGATTGTTATTTAAAATAAAAAATACATTAACATGTTTAAAGTACATAATTTAAATAAATGATTAATAATAGATAATTTTGTTTTGTTAAAATATTAAATATTTTTTCCGCTTGAAAATAATAACTGAATTTTTTATCTATTAAGGTAGAAAGTTTATTCAATGTTTTTTTGGAGTTTTTCTTTAATATTAAGTCTAAAAATCAAACCATATAATTTGTTCTAAAACCAAAAGTAATCTCAAAACTATATCCCATAAAATAACCATCGGTTTGATTTAAGTAATTTGATTCAATTAACTACATGGTTTGTATTATTTGTAACACTCCAGAAAAAAATCTAAATTTAAATGTTAACTTATAGATAAAAAGATTGATTCTATTTTAATAGAGTAGATTAAAAAAAAAACTAAAGGTTGTTTAGCGGTGATTGGTGAACAAAGTTTAAATTAAATTATTTCCGAATTAAAAGATGAGGAAAATGCAAATGATACATTTTTTATTTGTAACAAAAAGGTTCATTTAAACAATACAACAACATAGGAATAATAAAACACGAAAATACAACCAAAAAAAAAACACACAACAACTTTCTTTTCGTTTGATATTGTTTTTTAGTGTTTAGGACCGTTACCTTAACAAAGAACACTTTGCAGCATCTTAAGCCTTAACTCCAGTCTTCTTGTTCGGCTCAAACACGAACTTGATCAAAGACTCTTTGATAGACAACATCTCAGGGAACTCAGTCTTCAACTTAGTCGCATCAAGCTCGTTGTTACTCCTTGGAGCCACAATCACTTTAGCTTGTTCCTCCAATGTGAAGTTCTTCCAAGTGAAGCTCGGGTCAATGTACTCTCTGTACATCTCCAAGATCTCGTTGTGGCTCACGACACCAGGGTTCGTGAAGTTGTAGATCCCGGTTAAGTTCCTCTTCGCCATCTCGATGGATATTGGAAGAAGCTCGTCGAGGATTGTCATGGAGTTTGGGATGTCTACGACTTTCTCGTAACGAGCAATCTTGGTAATGAAGTTTCTTGGGTTTGATAGATCCGAAGAGATGGGCATCCGCACTCTTAGTGTGCATACGTTTTCGTAGTTCTTGAGTAGCTCTTCCACCTATTATTGCATTTCAAGAACTTAGCTATGATGATGATAATAATCTCAGAGCATATAAAACGTTGAACTAATCTTCATTTTATGTAAAAAAAAGCTAATCCAGGATATAAGATCTATGCAATTAAGACTGACTTGGAAAAATCTTGGATTTTTGGGGATCAGAGAGTAAATATATAAAGAATGGGATCAAATCTGAAGCAATTGAATAATAGAGGGATTGAACATGTGAATAAGAAACTCTCACGAATCTAAGACATTGAAGTGATTGAACTAATCTACATTCTATCTGAACTAATTCAAGATCTAAGACTTAAGCAATCACGCTCATTAGAACCGAATCAGCATTTTTTTTGTTGGAACAGAGAGTAACTAATTAAATAATCAGACAAATCTGAATAAATTCTATAGTTAAGGGACTGCAAATGTGAATAACGAAACTCTCACGAATCTGGAACATGGAACCAACCACACACCTACATTTTATCATAAATCAATTTTGGGCCTAACTGCACATTTCAAAACTTATAAAATCACACGAACTGGATCATAAACAACTAAAACAGAAAAAACAGATCCAATCGAAAACTTTCTTAAACAAAAGGATCGAAACCGCAAATATCAAAAGAGAGAAACACTCACCATAGCTTTGGTCTTAGAATAGAAAGACCCGGTAAAATTCGGAGTATCCTCCTCCTTGAATCCAACACCCGACCCGAGAACATGACCCGAATCATACTCAAATATACACCCGGTGGCGTAATTAATCAGCACAAGCGCCTTCTCTCTGCAAATGTCGGCGAGAGTCAACGTCCCGGCGACGTTGGTACGGATGGTCTCGACCTTGTGGGACTCGCACCAGTCGACATTAGGACGTCCGGTGACACCGGCGGCGTTGAACACGTGGCTAGGCTTCACGGTCTCGATGTCGGCGATGAGGGATTGGCGGTCTTGGAGCCGTCCGGATCCGTAAGTGTAGGAGATTCCTTGAGATTCGCAGAGTTTGCCGAGGAGGCCGCCGATCCATCCGGTTCGGCCGTAGATTAGGAAGTTGTAGGAAGCGTTTGCCTCTGCACCCATTTTTTGTCGGTGATCGGAGATTTTGTCGGAAAGAGAGGAGATGGAGAAAGAGAGGAATGGATCTGAGGTTGTGTTTGTGTTCGCTAATGTTCTTTTTATGCTATGTTTGGGAGAAAGACATGTTTTGTTTTACAGCCCTTTGATTTTATTTTTTGACATTTACAACCCCGATAGATTAAAACATTTACCAATTTGACGATAAAGAATTTAAAATTAATAAATTAACAAGAATTGTGTAGCATGTTTATCTTTTTTTTATATAAAGTTAATTACATAAACCATCACTAATCAGGAATTAATATTGCTTTGTCGATATTGTACATTATTTTATCTTCTACGTGTGCACAACTCGTAACATTTTTGGACGCATATTTATTTAGGTGATGCTGACAAGAAAAATGTATCGGGGTGTTGTTATTACTTTTCTGGTAAATATGAGGGGTGTCGAGATAATTTACAAGATCTTCAGGTTTGTGTGTTAAATTTAAAACTATTATTTGTAAACGTTGATTTATTTTTAGAATAATGTATTATTGTCCCTGATTTTAGTCAGATCTGTGAGGTCGGTGGGACGTGAGAAAATTGTTAATTAACACAAAGGAGATTCCACTGCACTGGAGGTCTAGATTTCAAATATTAAATATTCATTATAATCTTGACTAAAATATTTTGGGGGATAAACTAATAATCTCGTTTTGCATTCTATATATTTAGCAGAGAATATAATTTTACTTTTAACTGTTAAAAGTTATACATTAAATATTCAAATTTCAACTCGTTTGATTTGCTTGAACAAAGTGCTAACTAGGTAATAGAATTCGTCAATGAATTAGCAACCACTGATTTATAGTAGTATTTGAGAAATTTTAGAAAACTTTCCAATTGTAGAAAACAATACCATAAGTGGTAGAGATAATTAATACAACATACATAACTCCGCCAAATGTGATGTTAACTTTTCTATAATTGAAAGTTTCTATATTTTGTGTAATTGATTTGACACTGAAACCCCTAAATGAAATTTATGGGATATTAACATATCAAGCATATAAAACTCTCGATGTACAAAACCTCCCGATTCATTTCTATAAAAATATGTAGGATAACCTCTCATTCAGTTAACTAGTTAGAACTTTTTGTCAACATTTAATTAGCATCAATCATGCGAGACGGATTAAGGAAATGTATATACAATTGGGCTAATTCATGAGCTAGGTATACTTTTCTATTTATAAACAGATCGGATCTTCTGTCTGAATCGTAGTGGACAAGTGATGGGACTCATTTAGTGTCTTTTGCTAGATCCAAATCTCAACCTCAATTCGAGTGGTTTTTTTTTACTTCAAAAGTTGTTTTTTTATATATATATAATTTTAAGTATTTCACACAAATCTCATAGAGATCTACAAACTAAAACCGACCACGTACAATATTAACAACGATCATTATAATATTAACAATGATCGAGTGCACATGAGTGATGAGTATGCAAGTTAAAGTACGAATAGATTTAAACTAAGATTAAAACTAATTCTTTGCTAGGAAGGAGGAGGAAGAAGAGCAAATATATTAAAAAGGGAACTAATTCATTGTTAGGGACATTTTGTTCATATTATCATATAGGATATGATATAATACGTCTAAACTTAACAAAGCATGACTAAATATTTTCAGAAGATAGTCCAGTCAAACAGGAAAGCAAATTCCACAACGAGTCCGGTTACCAGTTACAACATTATAGTTCTGTTACACATCAAAAAATGAAAGAAGCTGGTAACAGCAAGTAATCACTCAACACACAAATCATGTAGTGGTTGGGGACTCATCAAGCCTTTTGAGTAGCAAAGAAAAAAAAGACACATTTCCTCTCTCACGAGTTCGTGCCATTTATTTTCTTGTCTTCTCCGTCACGGCCGTTGGTGGTTTTGCGGAGGTGAGCGTCCGGATTCTCCACGGCGTAGAGGTGTGGTCTTTGGTTTCATGCGGCGGCTTTTCCATGACGATGCTCCTGCTGGCCGCTGCTTGGAGTTTTAGCGATCCTACCGCTCAAGTTCACTGGAGTTAGGTAGTCTAGTGGCAATCTTTTGGGATTTGGTGTGTACCCACATTAGTTTTTGGTTCGATTCTCTTTGAGAATTAAACTATCATTACTCGGCTAGTCTGAATTTGAATTTTGGTCCAAGTGGTTTATATGGGGGATGATCAGTTCACCTCTGACATTAGTCGAAAGATATTTTAAACTTGGATCTGGCAGTGTGGTAGCTAGCCCAATCTATAGCACTTAGTGCATTCTTCCCGGCACCGACCAGTCGGCCGATAGGGTTTATCCAAAAAAAAAAAATTTCACCAGAGTTGTTTTTCGTCCCCTATGCTTGTAATATTTTCTTCTCTTTATTCTCTCCTTGTGTTTTAAAGATAAGCCCAGTCTATTTCTGTTTTTCACTGTTTCTCAGTCATTGATGACCAGCCGGAGGCTACTGTTCCAGTGCCTTAATTTTGGGTTACTTCTATAAATATAAATATTATTGAAAATTGTAGTGGTTGGGATGTAATCAGCTAAGTAAGTACATGATATTAATGAACACACTTCGTTATTACCAAATAACATGAGCTGCATATATCATGCAAGCATGGTAAAGCAATGTAATTAGTATGAAAATGTAGTGGCAATTATATACTACTAATAACAAGAGATTAGTGTTTGCGCTTGGACTTCAAGGAAGTGAGGGAGTGAGAGTTGCTGTGCCAATTCCTCTTTCGTTGATTAATGAACCAATTGTTGATTTGCTTCAACTGTAATCCGGTCTCCTCCACCAGTCTTGCTTTGTCATCTTCCTGTTCAAATCACATGGTTTTTACTTTTATAAGTTTTTTTTTAGTTAATTACATATTATAGTTCCCAATCTCTATTTTTGTTATGCTAATGCATATGAGGATTTATTAAGAAAAAGACAACGCTGCATGCATTGAGTATAAACCCAAATTGAGCCCGATTGTTTCTTTGCGTTTACACTACATGAAAACGTAAACGTAAATGCAAACAAATAATTGGACCCATATATGTTTGTTGGTTTGTATTAAAAGATGTTAAAAGTACTCACAGTAGGGTAAGGCCACTTGCAATGCTGCTGCCACCAATTTTTCAATACAGTGGTTGTGTCCCCAGGCAATTTTCCAGCCCTTCTTTTCCTCATTATTTCTTCTCTTACATCTTCGATTCTCGATTTAAAACCCTTATCCAAATACGAATAGCAAATTTAATTAGAAAGATTCGGTAAATAAAAAAAAACATAAACATGTTCCAAAAAAAAAACATAAACATACTATATAATGAATAGCAAATTTAATTAGAAAGATTCGGTAAATAAAAAAAAACATAAACATGTTCCAAAAAAAAAAACATAAACATCTCTATAATATTATTTGAGAAGCCAGTTTCCTATGTGTCGCGCTCACGTTAACTTTCACAATGGTTGATTACATAGATACCCTTAATGAACTAAAAATATTATATCTAATTTCCATTACTATTAAAATTTTATTTATTTTTAATTTATCTTTTCTTTTCTTTATTTCTTTCCAAATAATATTTATAATAAAAGTAAACATTAATTAATGAACTATAAATTTTAAAAACGAAATCTCTATAATAAATAAGTTGATTTCATAAAAAAGGAAACTTAACAATAAAATTTTTATTAAAGGAAGAAAATTAAATTTTTAAAACGAAAATATATCACATACATAATTTGAGTTCATAAAAAAGGAAAGTTCACAACAAGCATTTAATATTATAAATATATTTATTTTAATACATAATCTTAAATAACATAATATATATATTTTTAAAGTAATAATAATATTTTCTTTACGTAAAGCTATATTTTCAGATGATCAAAACTAATATTACTAAGGGTTTTACATATGTTTTGCATAATAATTTGTTAACATAAATTTAATTGAAAATTTCTTTGTATTTTTTATTAGACTACATAAATTAAAAATATCTCGAATTATCTAAATTATATTTATTTTTTTCTTAGATAAGATGATTTCAAAATATTAAATATAAAACAATTTTTGAGTATTTATTTTTAAAAAGTAAAAGTAAATTAATATTTTTCTTATATAAAATAATCTCTACAAAATTTTGTTATTTACTTAAAATACTAAACAACATACTTTAAAAATAATCTTAAGCAATATGACATTATTAGAAAATGTAACTATTTTTTTTATAATTCTATCTTAATAAAATAATTTAATAAAATAATTACAGAAATATTTTAAATATTATAAGACAATATATTTTTAGCGAACTATAGATATTTACTTTACTTCTTTTTTCTTAATCTTTAGTTGATTTTAAGTTTTAATTTATATTTTTAACAACCAGTGTCTCCTTTATAATCTGAACTCCCAAACTAATCTGAATTCTTATGTTTAAAATTATTAATATAGTTTTTAATTTATCGTTTATACATCAAAATATAAATTATTTTTAAAATTATATCGGTCATGTTCTTTTATGTTGTCATATTAATCATCAATTTAATTTTATTGGTTTTTTAAAATCAACATCAAATATACAAAAAATGAAAATATATTTACACATCCTAGATAAAAAACATAACTCCCACATTAAATAAAACTGATCTTATTTGGTTTAGCTGGAATAAAAATAGATGTATTTATAATTATATATTTTTATATATAAGAATAATTATAGTAATATCAACAAAAAAATGCAATATAATATATCCAAATAATAATTAAATCGATTAGATACTATATATCTCAAATCACATGTCAGATTAAAACAACATGTAATTATATACACAAGATCTACATATTAATTATAAAAAAAAATTGTAATCAATTAGTATTATTTATTTATGTTGTTGATTTTAGATTTGTGCATGAACACGGGAAAATCACCTAATCCAGCTTATATCTAAAATCATAGATTTAACTACAATAAGAATATATAGTTTTTTGCAATCAGTTATTTTGTAAAATTTATATACATGCATGAGACTTCAGAATATTTTTGTTATATTAATTTATGTAATTTAGAATCAGACACTTTAGTTTATTTTTATTTCCTTATAAAAATAATATATACTAAGTTATACATAATGTTCCTAAAATATATTTATATATCTAACACAACAACTAACCTAAATACAAATAAGAAAATTAATAAAAATTTAATATATTTAAGATAAAAAATATTGTAGTTAAATTTTGGAAAATAGATACAGTCCAATAAATTCATATGATAACTAAATCGACTGTAAAAATAACAAAACCAGTTAGATATAACATATCGACATTCATCTGCTAAAGTACTATAGTATTATTAATATAAATTATGCATATAAATTATAAATTAATATAAATTAAAGTAAATAGCAAGCATTTTTTATAGTATATTTGTTTTATAAATATTTATAAGGAAAATCACCTAGTACTATATAATATTGCGACTCATGACATATAGATTTACCTGTTTGAGTTCGAGTTTAAGTTCTTGTCTGACTCTTTCCATAAGAGATCTTTCCGATTCAGTCGGAAGCAATGGACCAAACCCTGTCATGTCGTGTCCACCGCTAAAATCAACTCCGGAATTATCGGATGAGAAATCCATATGAAGATCCTCCTCGTCTTCGGACATCGTCGCACCAGATCCTTCTCCTAATGTCGCTCCTATATGGGAATAGAGAATGTTTAAACGAAATGTTACTACAGCAGTCCAACTAGTAGATTTCTATGGATTAGGCCCAAAAGCACTTTAGCATGAAACAAAGCTACATCAAATGTGTATACATGCATGTACAAGTGTGTGTATGATTAAAAATATGATTATCTGAATGGTTGAGCATGTTGAAATATACAATTCTCATGTGGACAGACTGTTCCAATATTGTGTCGCAACACTAGTAGCCTTTAGTTTATTTTCTTTATTTTTATCCTCTCTATTTTTTTTGTATGAAAAAGCTAATGATTCCAACGTATTTGATATATCTCCAAGGCCTTGGAACTGTTGTCTCTTGGAATATTTACATCTTTAGAATAATCATATAAAGTTAAGCACAAATTATATCCATGTCTTCTATTTAATTGTGAAAGCTATATTCTTCATGATCATCTTCCGACACATATTTTTGATTATATGTAAGTTTTATATCTACCAGTTGTTCATATCTGGTATGATCAGCAAGAATCTTTAGTTACCTAACTCAATTATTTGTTTGAAAATGCCTATTTTTCTATAAAGGCTTAAGTTTAATTATTATTGTATTTGGTACCAGCTGCATGGTTTGTATAACATGATACTAGCTATTAGAAATGGATATTTAATATATTTTTTAAATGTGAAACTTAATATCCAAATTCTTAATATATCCCATATACAAACAGATAAATAGATAAATTTGAAAATTTGATAAAAGTTTCTTGAAATTTTACATAAATAAGTGGAAAATGAAGAGAGAAAACACCTGTGAAAGAGTGGAGGTTGTTCTCAATTTCACGGCAAGCCATCACAGCTTCGACGGCATGAACCCTCACGTGTTGTTGCAGCTGTTCTTTGAAGCTACACAGCACCATCACATATTGTGCCTGTTTTAAAAATTTAGTATTATTTATACCAACATATATTAATATACATCATTTAAATTGAATAACCATTTCCAGATATATGTATACACACATATTAATAATGTATGTGCATCAGGTGTGGTGTTTTTTGAGCGCTTGAATCATTATTTAGTCCTATTTTCTACCCAATTTTTGTAAATAAAAGTAATTATATTTTTAATAATACCACATTACTTCCAAAACCATAGTATTTTTGCTAATTTCCAAAAATATAGTTGAGATATCAATTCAACTTTAATGCAGTTGCAAATGTTAGTATGGAGTAGAAATCACGGGATTCAACAAACATGAAAAAGCGTAGCTTAAATAGACAATTTCAATCATTTCAAAAATGCCATTTTACATTAACTCAATCTATATGAATTCTAGCACCTAATCATCGTACCACATAATGGGACCTATACAGGATAGACCTATGCGTGTGTGTATAATATATGAGGAAATTTTATGAAGATACATAAATTTTTATGATAACTGACAAATTTCAAAATTCTAATAACATCGTCCGCACATTCAGATTGAATTTAAAAAAATAGTCATGTAAAATAAATTGCAAAACAATCATAAACATAATTTTTGAAAATATAATTACACAACATTAATTAAATTTATACTCATAGTTAGTCCACTAGCAATCACTAAGAAAATTTATGATGCCCAAATTTTTCCAAGTAAATAAACCAAGTCTTCATATTGAATTTCAGAACTAAATTCTGTAAAAGTAAACCAGTACTAAATCATTGGAAAACATAAAAATCATGTTAAAAGTGTTTTGCGGTCCATCATAAATCAGTTTCAATAAAAAAACAAAGACCAGAACTAGTAATAATTAAATGAAACAAGTAATAAAACAAAACTAATTTGTATAACAATTAGTATAATCATTAACCAACGTACCAAGAAATTGTCGAGCTCGTGACGATCATGATGCGAGAATCCTACGGCTGTTGAAGCATAAGATCGGAGAAGATGGTGAGAGTGAGAAAGCTGAGCTTCAATGATCGGAAGCTGATCGATCGGAGTCGCTACTCTTAGACATGCCACATGTGCGGCCAATAATTGCTCGTACATGGGATGTGTCGCTATCTCTCCTTTCATCTGTCTATTTTGCTCCGCCACGATGGCTGCGTCTCCGCCTACTGTGGCTCCGATCATACCTAACGCCGCTTCTTGCATAGTCAGGAGCTACGTTTCTCTCACAGACCGAAGACAGAGAAAAAGATAATGATCGGAAGACATCAACATATTTAAAGCTGTCCTGATTTCTTTCCCCCCTTTATTTTTATTTATTATATATTCTCTTATACATATATTTAAAATACATTTCTTTTAAGATGTTCCTATCAGAAACCATAATCTTTTTTTTATGCTATGATTCTATGAATAGGAAAAAAAAGATTCTATGAATATGAAGAAAGTAAGGTTTAAATCATTTCTCCATCACATGAACATTCAGAAGAGCTATTAGCTCAAATTATTTAAACATCAAGTTTTGTATTTTGATCCGACCGAGAGGCTTACATAAATAATATTACAGTACAACCTCTATAAATTAATACTAAATAGATTAATAAATTTTATTGTTCCCAATTTAGGTTGATGTAAAATATGACACAAATCGATAAAGTAATAAGATAATAATATTTTTAAAACTGCCTGCAAATATATGGTCCCACTAAAATCATAAATTAATAATCTAGCTTTTTTATATAAGTATAATCTAACATTATATTGTTGGTTTTATATTTACTATAAAAAATACTTTTATTTGTTTAACCATTTCAATATAATTTGATAATATTTAGTTAGAGGTTTTATATTTGCTATAAAAATATTTTTATTTTTTAAACATTTCATTGTATTTTGATAATATTTAGTTAAATTATATCGAAAACCATGTAACAATTCTATGAAACATAAAAATATACACCAAATAAGATAATAAAACAATATAAAAGTCAAATTTCTAAAATTTAAATAATGTACATATGCTAAAATCAAATATATTTTTATTTTATAAATAAAAGTGGAAATAAAAAAAATCTAAATAAGAAAACTTTCGTAAATTAATATCTCTATAAATTAATAAAATTTCAAAGTCCCAATATTATTAATTTATAGAGATTTTACTGTATATTAATATGATAATTTGCTCCATGCTAATCTGTTTGTCGTTGTATTAGAAGTTCAGGAATACAATAAAAACTTTATAAATTAAGAACTAGATTTTAATCCGCTCGGTTGCGTGGATGTTTGTTTTCATTTTTGTTTTAGAACATAAATTATATATATTTTTCATATTCATCCGATACTTAACTTTTTATATAACTATTCCAAACACAATAATTTTATAATTTACATGTTAATTAATCAGTTATTTATCTTATTGTATTGCATTTAGTTATTAAAAAGTTAATATATTCATGAGAAAAAACATATTTGAAAATTATTTTGTATTTGATTATTGTAAATTCAGACTCATCTTTTAAAGTTGGATTTTCTTTTACCAATATTTATGTTTATTCATTTTAGTTAATATATTATTTTATATACAAAAATCTAAGATATGTTACTTTTTAGACATGTATTATATAGTTTGCTAATTTTAAGTGGTTCTGTCATGATATTATATTTTTAAAATAAATAGTTTATATTTATAAAAATAAAATTTATAAATATATAAATTTAATATACTTTTATCATATTTAGTTTAATATAATAATTGTCTTTTAACATGATGATTATGACTATTAAGTAAATAAAATAGGATAAAATTTAAAACTTTCATTCTATAAACGATAACTTAAAATAGATTAAGTTACACAGATTTGTTAAAAATTTATATGTAAATATATATATTTATATATAAAATGAAAAGATATCATGATTAAAGTATTTACCAATTTTTATATTATTAGCTTTAATGAAATACATGTTAATTTATATGCATATATTATATATTTTGCTAACATAAAACCGTCATACCAACATATTAGATTTTATTTTTGAACATAAATATTTTATACTTATGATAATAAAATATATAAATTTATCAATTCAATACAATTTTACTATATTTAGCTTAATATAATAAAATTTCTTTTAATATTATTGATTATGAATATATAATAGATAATATGATATAATTTTTTATTTTTCATTTTATAATCTTTAAATGAATATATTAATGAAAATATTTAAGATAATATCGGAAATGAAGATCTTGTAAAAATCTTTGAAAACGATTTGTAGGAATTTTTAAGTTAGTATATTTATATTTAAATGAAAAGATATCAAAAGATATTATGATGAAAGTATTTTATATTTAATAAAATTTCTAAGTGATGGTCCAAATTTTAAAAATAATCATACATAAAGTTAAGTCATGACTTCTGTTTTAATATATAAGATGTTGAGATTACTCTATTTTATTAATTTAAATCCTTATTAATTTATAATATATTTATTTAGATTTATCTATTTAATACTTTGTTTATAAAAATTAAAAAAAAATATTAAAATTTTAATATGCATACATTGACTAAATTTAGAAATTTGAATTTTATATTGTTTATTATATTATTTGGTATATATGAAATGTGTTTCATAAATTTAAATGTGATTATAGATATAATTTTACTAAATATTATCTAAATATACTGAAAAAGGTCGACAAAAAAAAATATATATAAATACTGAATTTTTAAAAAAAATAGAGATGGATTTTCTTATAAATATAAAAAACAATATGATATTATATTTATACTTATTAATTTATGATTTTAATAGAACCATTACATATACTTTTCTAAAATTTATTTTCTTATTTTTTTTATTGATTTATGTCATATTTTGAACTGGCCTAACTCAAAACCAATGAAATTTATTATAGAGTATTAATTTATAGAATTTTCATTGTGTATAAAACTAAGAACGGATTAATATCTTTATTATGAACCATTTTGTATAGTTCAAAGTTTGATAAGTTTTCTGTTAAAAGTATTTAGTAATACAAATATGGAAAACATTCGAATATTGTCTCAATTAAGAAATGAAACTTTTTGATTAAGAAATTAAATAGGTTTATAAATTGGGATACCTACTATAAAAGTTGATAGATTTCTAGGAATTGGAAAGCTCTCATGGATTTTAACAAATATGTGCATCTATATTCAGAGAATCCATATAACTTTCATAGATTGTCATAGATTTCCATAGTTTCGCATTAATTTTTGTTATTTTTATGTTAAATAACTATATAAGGTATATTAAAGTTAATATTGAGGTATATCAACAATTTCTATGGTATTAGTTTTTTGAGAGACATATTACATGTGTATGAAAAGTCTGGATTTTGTCATTTTGGATGTGTTATAGTGTCATTGTAAATCTCATTTCTAATATATCCATGCTTTTAAGTTGGCATAATAGATCTATTTTTTTATTCAGCGATACAAATATACTTGATAGTGTGACATATTTATTTGAAAAATATTTCTTTATAATTTTGTTATCCCAACTTTGAGGATATTGTAACTCTAGTATTTTGAAATCTAATCTATTAAAACAGAGTCTTATTTTTATCTACTGATAGAAAGTCATTAGATCATTTCATTAGTAATCTTTATTATATTAAAAATAATATATATATATTAAATCATTTGAATGAAATATACCATCACACATAAGAATATTCTCTTTTAACACTATTTCTTTTTAAATATTTTCTATTTTGATTTAAAAAAATCTTCTAAAATCTTTTGATTACTAATTTTTAAAAATCAATTAAATTCGTAATTATTATTAAAGTATTAGAAATAATATTATTTAGGTTCTAAATCAAGAACAATAAATATTTTAAATGATTTTAATTTAGAAAGTTAAATATAAACATTACAAAAATAAATTATAAGAAGTAGAAAATTATTCTATTATTTAATTATATGTTGTTAATATCGAACAAGACATATTAAATTACATAATATAAAACACCATATTGTAATAATATATTTTATCAATTTTCATAATAACTAAATAGAAAATGTATCCGCACGTTGACGTGCGGGTTATAATCTAGTTAAGTAATTATTGATGAGTTAAAACGTAAGAAACCAATGTTTCAATAACACAAGAATTTAATAAATTTGCAAAAGCAAAAAATACTCAAATTTTTGAATAACCAAAGATTCTATAATAAATTACAAAATCATTACACCAACAACTAAATTTTTTTTTTTAAATGATAAAATCATCACACCAATAACAAGAGATTTGCTTAAGACTTTAAGAATCACTAAACCCATAAAAATAACAAAAAAAAAAGTCTTCAAATCTTTAAAAATTACTTTCCCACTAACTCCCCCCCCCCTAATTCAGAACTGGGGTCGTCTCATATCTGAGTGTTATAATGTTTTAAAGGTTACATTACATGCCTGAGAAATGATGAATTAAAGATGTATCACATAATAACCATATACTAGGTTAAGAACCACACAATTGCGCAGAATGAACGACAAATATAGAAATGTTTTTGGATTATTATTTATTTGTGTTCATTTACGTATTTTGTATATAATTAAATTAGAGTAAGCACATAAATGAAAACAATATCTCTTGTTTATTTACGAACTCTTTTGGTAAGTAAATCAAACAATCATTTTATTTATTTAAATATGGTATATAACCAAATTTCAGTGACATGGACACAGATATATAGTATATTTTAATATAAATATTTATTATTGAGAATCCATACTCATATGATAAATACAAAATTTATAATGTGATTTTTTACTGCAAATTTCAAAATTAAAATATTAAGGTTTCAATACTTTTTCAATATAAATTTAGAAATTAACATATTTATGTATTTTATATGTTATATAGTTTAATTTTAAACTATATTAATATATAATATGAAGTTCTATTAAATGAGACTTCATATTCATGCGATTTATGATCATTTGTATCTTGTTATTACAAAAAGTTAAACTGTTGTCCACAAAATTGTAGTGTGAGACATTTAACGTTTTTAATTTGTAGTCATTTAAAAATATAAAATATAACATATAAAAAATAATTTTTATTATATGGTTAATATGATTGTTTAATATCTTTTAATAATATAAAATCAAACGAAAAAGAGTTAAGATACAAAAATTGTTATCACATATTTATTATTCATAAGCATTAATTT